GGAACTCAGACTTAGCGGCTGTTTGATGCTAAGTCTCAAGACACTGATTTAAATCATCAAAATGCAGTGATGCATTGAGACATTTGCTCTAAATTATACATGTCTTGTCCAGTTGCTAAAAGAAATTGAAGCCAATTATCCTGCCTAGCACAATTATGCATAAAAATGTTGAAAAAGTAGGAAAGTTAATAATAATAATGAATAATAAATTCAGATACAAAAACCATTTATATTAATTGGTGCTTACAAATTCAAATAAACCTAAGTAATCTAGAATAAAGTTAGAGCACAGGAGTGGCTAGGCGTAGGTAACAGCTTGTTAGGCAATGATGGCTCCCTACAAAGAACAAAGTCTAATTAACGATCAATTAGATATAGTACGGTACTAAACACTGATATGAAAATAAATCCTCAATACAAATTTGATAACACCCAAAGAAACAAGATATGACATGAGTACAGTATCAACAGATACAGTAGAGGTTATAAAGACACTAGCACATTATGCATACCTCTGCAGTTGCTGAACATAAATTCTTGCACTTAACCCAGAGGGAGGCAAGTTTGCATTAGCAGACTGCTACGGGATTGTTAACCCGCTCTCCTAATTCTCCATTCACCACATTGGTTCCTTCCATCTTTTTCTTCATATTGTTGTCTAAGAAATCCCAAATAAGATCCCTACATGTATATACTGATTACAAAGGGTATATATCTGAAAATTAATTGGTTTGTGCCTAATAGCCATTTCCAATCTCTGAAGTGTAAGATACTATACAATTCTACCTATAAATTAAAGAATGCCTTTATGATCTTAATAATTCTCATGTCCCACTCGAAGATTTATTCTTCACGTAATTTTCTTTGACCTTTGTTTTTCTCCTTCATTAGTAGAAGTAATTTCATTTACTTTCAAGGATTGATAAATAATTTTTACACTAATACCCAGATTTTTAACCTGTAATTTTCATTATGCATTGTTGAAAGAATATGGTTCTACTGATCTTCCAACTGCTGGGTGCCATTCTGTTTTCATTATAGTCAAATGGGGTAAGACAGGATCGCAGCCTTCATGGGGTAAGAAAGGACCAGCCCATGGTGTGCATTCTAATTGCACTGAATTCAATTTGACAAAAGAATATGTTAGAACAATCATTGCCTGTCATTTCAGTGTTTGTGGCAACCCTCTTCTGCAAATTATGAATTTCTGGCTAATTTTTAAAGAAAACCTACGTAAAGCAGGGTCACAAAATAGTTAACCTTGTTTGGGAAATAAGCTCTGTCTAATGACAAAAAATTTTTTGGCCAGGTTTGTGGATGTAGGCAGGTAACCTCAAGTAATAGACAACATTTTAGACATACTAGGCTTAGGCATTCCTACCTGCTACCATCACTGCCTGACATGTATTCTAAAATGGGGTAAAAAAAGACTGGACATGGGGTAAGATGGGACCACTAAATGATCCTGTTTTACCACACAAGTGGTTCCTATCTTACCCCACAAATGGTCCTGTCTTACCACACAAATGGTCCTCTTATACCCTACAGTTTATCAAAAATAGTTTTTAAATGAATATATTATTGTGTAGTACATGGAGTATTTTGGTCAAAATTTTCATCTTTTGCTCAAACTTCATTATAACTTCTTAGCTTTTTTAATTAGAGAAATTTAGCTCACTATTTTGAGTTGCATCAATGGGATATAGAAAATAGGGATGTCTATTCCCATTAGTGAGCTGCAGAACTATGTGCATGATTGGCTGGGGGAAAAATCACAGTGAGAAACATGAAAAATAATTATGATCACAACTCTGCGAGGGAGGGCTTGAGCTATGTTTGAAGAAGTGCACCACAAATGCAGTTAGCAAGAAAACACATGACGTCTGACACTTGAGTTATTAGTTATTGGTTTTATTACCAATTTGATAAATTTTTCAGACAATGACACTAATGAAATATACATGAAGCATATAGCAGTGCTCTACAATGAACCAAAGCCAACCCACTATTACTATGCTTAACAAAGTTTTCTCGTGACAAAAACTTCAATGTGACTGATATTAGAGTTGACTTCCTGCAACACAAAACAGTAAAAATGGTTGTTTAAACAAATAATGTGCTTCTAGATGGATAATATTGAATATCAGATTTGTACTTTTATTAAAAACCTTGTAACATAAGAATTACCAGTTGGTCCTTTCTTAACCCAGCCTGGTCCCATCTTACCCCAATGGGGTAAGATGGGATCAGCTCACTTTTTTTAATCTGTACAGAAAACTATGTTAGATGCAAAACGTCTGAGTTGTAGCTTAGAAGCCCATTGCATAACTACACCTTAGAATAGGTTTAGGGTTTTTTAGTTATTCATGGTATAGATGCTACAGGCTTGTTAGTGGTTTCAGTCCTGTCTTACCCCATCTGACTACTAATAGCATTGGCATTTGCTTGAACCAGAAGCAATGATCATGTTCACTGCACTTAGAGCATATTATGGTATGTCTGTATAAATTAATGACCCTTAAATAAATAAATAACTGACCTAGAAATAAACTACCATCAAATGGGGTAATTAGGGACAATTTTTATTTCATTTTTCGTTGAATACTTGTTACCATGAACATTTCATAGATAAGTTTGGCTCATTTTAGAGGTTTTTGCAAGGGCTATCATATGATTCTTAGAAAAATGTTCATACAATATTCATAACTTTGTGAAGTGCCAGAAGCAAAGAAAGCATCCCTAATAAGTCATGGAAATGGGGTAATCTGGGACGCTTGAAAAAAGCGTAATTTTAAAATGTTTGAAGCATTCAGAGTGTACTCCTCATCCATTGCTAACAGACTACTCCAAAGTCTTCTTCTTCATTTGTAGATGAAGTAGATGTTAAATGAATGATATTTTCTGGGATTTGTACTTTTTCCCTTTATTGATGATGATGATATTATTGTATTCTTTTTTCATGAATAAATAAATACTTTTTTCCATTCTATACCTAACATTTTTAACATCCCCCAAAAAATTTCTCTGCCATGGACATCACAACCTTGTCCACTGCAATCTTCATATCAACCCATGTAGCATTTCCTCTGTAAGCTTATAGGAGTGGGCTTGCAATTTTGCATCATTTTAAATGGGTCAAGTGAATTAATTCAGTATAAAAAATATCATAAAAAACATATCTGAAACAGAAATGAATATTTTAATGACAACCATCATATTTTCTGGAGAAATAAACCATAATTTTGGTTAATTCATCTTCATTCTATGTTGCCTGGTGCACAATTATTTCTATGATATTCTTTGCACAATTTTGTAATGACCAATGATGCATTAATTTTTCACTCAGTGAAATTTTTTTGCTGAGATGGTTGAATTGAAAGAAAATTATTCATCTTTAACCAATTTTTTTGTTAACCATAGCCTTTACTAAAGTAGGTTCTACTGTAAATGCGTTTTAGGGGTGCACCGTAATACCCCATCTTTGCAGAAATAGCCACCATTTTGTTTTGGATTGAGGTATGCAAATTCCATCAATAAAGTTTTAAAGTCAACACCAGTCTGCAAGTTTTTTTAAAGCAAAAATTTTTAATATGGCAAATATTATTTTTTGCCACAGACCTTAATAGAAGTACTTTTTCCAAAAATCATTTTGTAACATTTTTTTCAGCGATTTTTAGAGCTAGTAAATGTACGATTCCTTTACTTCCTATATACTAAATAGATGAGAAAAATGTTGATGTTTATGCCACTATTTTTAGTTTTGTAATATTTCAATTAGTTTTGCTGCTAAAACATTTTTATGCCATGACAGAGGACTGTCCTAATTTACCCACCAGCCACTTATAACCCCGTTTGATGGTACCTATTTTTGAAGTCTGAGACTAATTAATAGCTACCGTACTCTCAATTAAGAGTTAAATTAAGTGTTAAGCCACAATTATACTATCCAAGAAATTTACAAACAATATCATTAAAACATTTTGGTCCTTCTCTCTCATTGGATTATTTACTCCAGTTTCATTTAATTAATTTAAATTTTTTGTTTTCTTATTGTATTTCTCGTCGTGAACATGCCTCTCTGGCTTGTCTGAGTGACTTGGGTGCTTACAATTGGTGATCATCTGGTACATAAAGCTATCAAGCCCTAGGGGACAATTTCTTCTGGTATATAAACCCAACAAGCCCTAGGTTGCAATTAGACTCCTGCGTCTCGAAATAATTTTCTCGAAATGAACCGGGACAGACGTAACGAGACGAGAAAATTCCGGGAAAAAAATAACGGGACAGAGGGTAAAATTTGTCCCGGAATAAACGTATGAACCGAGACAAGACTTCTGTCCCGGACTTTAAAACTTGTGTCCCGGTA